ACTTAGCTGAAAGGAATCATTACTACTGAGCTTCAGTTAGGTTTGTACACCTAGGTCAGATTGTTCATTTATTACACTTTGCAATTCTAGCTTAGGTCTAGGACTTAGCTGAAAGAAATCATTACTACTGAGCTTCAGTTAGGTTTGTACACCTAGGTCAGATTGTTCATTTATTACACTTTGCAATTCTAGCTTAGGTCTAGGACTTAGCTGAAAGAAATCATTACTACTGAGCTTCAGTTAGGTTTGTACACCTAGGTCAGATTGTTCATTTATTACACTTTGCAATTCTAGCTTAGGTCTAGGACTTAGCTGAAAGAAATCATTACTACTGAGCTTCAGTTAGGTTTGTACACCTAGGTCAGATTGTTCATTTATTACACTTTGCAATTCTAGCTTAGGTCTAGGACTTAGCTGAAAGAAATCATTACTACTGAGCTTCAGTTAGGTTTGGGGTACACCTAGGTCAGATTGTCCATTTATCACACTTTGAATTGCTAGCTTAGGTCTAGGACTCAGTTCGAATTAATCATTAGTACTGTGGAGTTATATCTGGAGACCTATGTCAGGTTATTGGACTTCGCAACCGAGGTAGGCTAGGTTTAGAACTCAGCTCAAATGTCTACTATACCTGGGCTAGGTATGGTACACCGGTTATTCATTTATTGCACTCTGCAACCCAGATAGGTTTAGAGTGCACCCAGCTCAAATTACTCGCTCACTACGTTCAGCTTAAATCTGGAGTACGTCCGGTCAGATTACTCATGCACCACAATTTGGATGGGAATAGACCCAGGTCAAACTACTCGTCCACTATCGTTTCTAACCCAGATGCATCATAAGTCAGATATGATAGAAGAATTAAGAATTTGTATTTACTGTTTTTTGAGGGGTTTTCGGATTTTGCAGCGAATGTGTAATGTACCTTGATGTTAATGTTCTCTTTGGCGGACGTCTCGAAGAACTGTACACCTAATTGGTCCGCCAGTTGTTTGCCTCTTTCGAAACTGATGACCCTCTCCTCGTCCATGTCGCACTTGTTGCCGACCAGGATCACTTGGGCGTTGTCGCACGAATAGGTCTTGATCTGCGTGACCCAGTCTTGGACCGAATTGAACGATTCCTCGTTTGTGATGTCGTACATTAGAATGAAACCCATCGCCCCTCTGTAGTAGGCCGTTGTTATCGTTCTGTATCTCTCCTGACCTGCCGTGTCCTAAAAATGTCCACACAATTGTTCTACCTGTTCTCTCATAAATAAAGAAATTTGATCAACACGAGTTTATCGTAAATACAAGTATAGTTTTCATCCGACAATTTTTATAGATTCATGTTTTATTTCTTTTCTTCGCTATCTCGCGCTGGTAAATTAGCAAGCCGTCATGAACAGGGAGATAGGGTGATGTACGACGCATAGCCATTAAGTGATAAATGAACGTGCAGGCGAATAAATTAGTGACAACTATGAATACTTCGAATATTGATCGTCGCACACGTATTCTGGGTCCCAGGTCCTGGTATAATTGTGAGCGATGAGACTGTTATGGTAAGAATAAGTTAATACTAACCCAGATTTGTAACTTGACCCTTTTGTCGTGTCTGAAGACCGTTTTCACTTTAAAATCGATGCCCACGGTGGAGACGAAGGCCGAGGTGAAGGAATCGTCCGCGTAACGGAAGAGGAAGGACGTTTTGCCGACGGACGAGTTGCCGATGATCAGCAACTTGAACATGTAGTCGAAGTTTTGGTCCGCGGCCTCCTTCTGCATCTTTGGATCCTGGCCCGCCATCTGTCAACAAGTCCTTCATGAATACAAAACAGTCCTTCACCGATACAAAATCGTCGAAATAAAAAAAATACTTGAATTGTTTAAATAAAGGATTAAATTCAATAAAGTTTTAACGAGGAAGCACGAAACAGTAGAACTTGGAGGCAACGGAAAATTTCATTTGAATAGGGAAAAAAGCGTTCGCTGTTCACCCCAGTGACCCAATATCTCGCGAATGAGAGAAAGCTCGCGTCGTCCTAGCATGAAAAACGAAATCCCTTCTTTTTTCCTCATTTTTTTCAGAAAGGTCGTGAATCGAGTTTTCTTTCCCACGCGTTTTCTCCCTCCTGTGTCACAAAGATTGCGTGGAGCTCTTTAAACGACACTTCATCTTTCCAGCCTGAAACGAGGGGTGGCCAACGACGTGAAAAAGTGTAGCACTTTAATCGCAGCCACTTTCCAGAGGCGTTTTGCGAAAAAACCGGTGAAATTGAACGATGAACATCACGAAAATCAAACGTGAAACCTTCCTCGTTTATCAAGCTTTCAAGAGATCCTCCACTTATCAAGGTATTAGACTTGGGGCATTCTGGGGACTTTTGGGGTTTGAGAAATGTGAGTGATTTCAAGGATATTTGTAGCAGTGGGGATATTAGGGATTCTAGGACTTTTGGAGTTCCAGAAATCGCAATTACCTCAGTGGTTCTAGGGATATTAGGAGTATTAGGGATATTAAGGATCCTAGGACTTTTGGAGTTACAGGAGACCCTGAATTCTCAGTGTTTCCAGGGATATTAGGAATTCTGGGGACTTTTGGAGTTTCAGGAATCTCAGTACATTCTATGGTTCCAGGGATATTAGGAGCACTGGAGATCTTAGGGATCCTAGGACACCTTAAGGTTCCAGGAGACCCCGAATTAGTGCTTCCAAGGATATTAGGGATTCTAGGGACTTTTGGAGTTTCAAGAATCTCAGTAACTTCTGTGGTTCCAGGGATATTATGAACACTGGAGATCTTAGAGATCCTAGGACTCCTTGGAGTTCCAGGAGACCCTGAACTCTCAGTGCTCCCAAAGATATTATGGCTTCTAGGGACTTTTGGAGTTTCAGAAATTGCAGTAACCTCAGTGATTCCAGGGATATTAGGAGTATTGGGGATATTAAGGATCCTAGGACTTTTGGAGTTCCAGGAGACCCTGAACTCTCAGTGCTCCCAAAGATATTATGTCTTCTAGGGACTTTTGGAGTTTCATGAATTTTAGTAACCTCCGTGGTTCCAGGGACATTAGAAGTATTGAGGATATTAAGAATTCTAAAAAATTTTGGAGATCCAGAAGACTCTGAACACTGTGTGATCTCAGGGATATTAGTGATTCTAGGGAATTCTTTTGGAGTTCCAGAAATTTTAGTAACTTCTGTGATTCCAGGAATATTTCTAGAGATATGAGGAAGAGTTCTAGGGATATGAAGGATCCTAGAGACTTTTGGATTTTCATGAATATCATTGATTCCAAGGATATTAGGGACCCTATACATTTTTGTAGTATTATAAATTTCAATGTTCCCAGAAAATTCTATACAAAAACATTCTGCACCAACACAAGTCACTATGACACTCAATAAAATTCCCTAGTTATACACACCCAGAGCCACAATCGTTCAGTAAAATCCATCATCCATTAAAAATGAATAAAAATCCTTGAATTATTGTTTGCAAAATGACGCACACAATAACCTATCGAAGTTACAGGTTGTTATTTCAATTAATAAAGAAGATAGTAGAGATTTAGTCGCGAGTATAGTCGGTTCGGTGCGCTCGAAAACGACCGAACGGATTCCACGATAGCACTATTCGCAATTAGCGAGCAATATCGCGAACCACGATTCAGGAAATGCACGCGTGCTGGTACCGGAAGTCTGTTCTGCGGGCTAATCTCGACGATGGACATCATTCGAGCCATTCTGGTCCGCATTTCTAGCACGGAGTCCTTCACCACCGGTCTCCCATTGTTCCTAGCTTCCCCTCGCTGCTTCATCTCTTCGGTTTCCACGTAAAATTTCCTCACTGCTTTAAATATTCAAAGGAATTATTAGCGTCTTACGTTGTTTATAGTTTTCATCATTTTTTCAAACAATTTTAATTACACGTATTTTATTTAGCTAGTTCGTTTTGTTTGCCAAGTTAAAATAGTAAAAGAAGGATTTTTGTTTAGAGATAATTTTACCAACTTTTGACGGATTTCGGGAGCAGCGTGAAACGTCGAACGAACACTTGGAAACTTTTACTGGACAATCTTTCAACCTAGCCACGTTTACGGTTTCTTACGACGATATCGCGGTTTCTCGATACGTGTGTGCACGCCTACGCAGGAGTGGAAGACAAATGGTACCACGGGGGCCATTTTCAATTTCCACTGCGACCACATCTGCTACAATTCATTGTCTCCTTCTAACAGAAGTTTTATTGCGAATGTTTACATATTTAACTTAACATCTTACGTGTTTAATCTTACTCGTGCAATTTAACATATTACATGTTTAACCTTGCTATGATTTAACATTTTACATAATTAAGTTTACATATCTTATTTAACATTTCACGTGTTTAATGTTGCATATATGATTTAACATTTTATACATTTAATTTTACATGCATGATTTAACATTTTACATAATTAACTTTACATATCTTATTTAACATTTCACGTGTTTAATGTTGCATGTGTGATTTAACATTTTATGCATTTAAACTTACATGTATGATTCAACATTTTACATAATTAACTTTACATATATTATTTAACATTTCACGTTTTTAATGTTGCATGTGTGATTTAACATTTTACACATTTAATCTTATATGCATGATTTAACATTTTACATATGTAACTTTACATATCTTATTTAACATTTCACGTGTTTAATGTTGCATATATGATTTAACATTTTATACATTTAATTTTACATGCATGATTTAACATTTTACATAATTAAGTTTACATATCTTATTTAACATTTCACGTGTTTAATGTTGCATATATGATTTAACATTTTATACATTTAATTTTACATGCATGATTTAACATTTTACATAATTAAGTTTACATATCTTATTTAACATTTCACGTGTTTAATGTTGCATGTGTGATTTAACATTTTACACATTTAATCTTACATGCATGATTTAACATTTTACATA